CATTTTAGGTTTTAAAAAAAGGTCATTTCAGGTCACATTTAAAATGTAGAAGTTATAATGAAAGCATTTTCAGCATGCAGTATTAAAAATGCCAAGAATCAAATTAGCTTTTTATTTACATCTGTCATGTCGCTGTGGTATGCATCATCATGTCCTGGGGATGCTTCAACACTCTCACACAACTGCTGCTGAGCATTATGAGAAACCACCGCAACATTTCAGTGTATGTACTTTGTCCCACTAGGGAAAAATTAAAATACAGTTGCTCTGGTTCTAACTCACATCAGATTTCACTCCTTCTGTAAATGAGTAAACAAAACTATATCAATCTTGGCTGTTACATCAGTCAGCAGCTTAGACATTTCACAAGGGCCCCATACTTATAAATGAAAGCAAAAAAAGCATATAAACTATCTGTCAACTCTGCTATCAAGAGAGCTAATTCAAGTTTCTCTGGTTTGGGGAGGTATTTCTGTATTTCCTAACATAAATAAACAAGACAGAAGAAAACTCCAAAGCGCACAAGTTTTGGTCCAGGCTCTTATGACATTAGGCTATATCCATGGACGCTCAGCCCTCCACTTTCATCAATCCTGAGTGTCTATAGGAAACATTGTTTGTAATGATCCCCTTCAAACTTGAATGATGAAAGTGCACATTTTGCAAATGACACCTCAGCCAATCTGCCCCATCTGCATGAGAGACGGCAAATGATTTCACTCTTTAGGCATTCAAAATAAAATGCACATGCGGCAAATTCCAAGCTGGCAGGAAAATCCAGTCATTAAAAAAGTGATTTGTTTTCTACATTTGCAAACACAAAGGCTCAATTTATTTCCATTGCCATAAAGAAAATGAACTGTTACTATGTTTTTAAACAATCATAGCTAGCACATTTTGGAAATGTTTTAATTTCAAAAATACTAACTAGCAAATTAGAGTTTAAATAGCTTTTCTAAAGTGGTACCATTTTAGATACAGTTTTCGGATTGATGGCATCACTTTACCCTGTGGGAAAAGGTTTTACTGTCTTTGTGTACACTGTAGTGATGCCTGTTTCTTCCTGGAGTCACTAAATTAAAGAAGAAACCTAAACTATGTGAATTTTAAACAAAATTATATTCATTAACAGGAAGATATATTTTACATTATGGGAGCCTGAAAAAAAATGTACATTTCTTTTAAAATTAGAAATTTATGGTCTCTGTCCGTCTTTCCCTCTTTCTCTTCATAATGGGGAAAACAGAATAGCAAATAAAGAAAATAGCAAACATAATTGATATAGCCCCATCCTAAGAAAGCTTATAAACATGCTTAACTTTACACAGAATGAGTTGCTTAATTGAATTCACTGGGACTATTCCCAATGCAAAAATGTAAGCATGTGTGTAATTCTTTCCAGGATCAGGATATGTAAGGGTGATCTGTAATGAAAATAAAACTACTCATTTTTTTCAAATTTCTTAATCTGCATTTATTTTTGTGGCTATAGCAACATCTGGTGGACAAACAGCAAAATATAAAGCCTGTGCACTTCCACCATGATATAAATATATGTATTTTAAAATACAAACTGTTTTTACTTGCTTTTGTTCTTTAAAATTTAACAAGAAAAAACAACAATGTCACTTAGATAATTCTTAATAACTTTAAAGTTATTACGTCTCTTATAAAATGCTTTATATTCTTAACTAAAAGTGGTCAAGGCATCTTTGTTTCATAACATACTAAAATACTACCTTTTCTTCTCCCATCTTACCTCTCAGGCAAGTGCTTCTATACTTAGAATCATTAAGGTTGGAAGACCTCCAAGATCATCGAGTCCAACAACTTCGAAGTGCTGGTCATAGTGTATCAACGTATACTGACCCACTTTGACAAGAGTATACAAATACCCCACAAATGCTAAGGTTGCAGTTAAGGAGTCAAAAAATAAGATCTATCACAAATAAAGTTGTAAAGTAGAGTTAAAACAATAAAGAACCCCTGCAGATTTGCTCTCCACTGAATCAAATCATAAAAAGAACTCAAAATAAAACCCCAAAATAACGAAAACACTGAAGGGCAAGTTAGCATACAAGGGTGGCTGAGTGATCAGCATGCTGACAGGCATTCTTTTTGCTTCACTCATTTCCTCTGTGCTTTCTTCCAATTCCTACATAATTGCTCTCTCATTTTTCACATTCCCTTTCCTAAAAGTCCTGCCTTATAGGCACATCTGTTTAGAACCAGCAAAAAAGTATTTAATGATAAAATGAGAGTCAAATACAATTATAACTATATTTTCTAAAATTGCTCAATGCTGAGGTTAGCTTGAATTAATTTCCAAAGGGCTGGAGACATGACAATGTAGAACAAAATATGAATATACTGACTAAAATGTTTTAACACTGAACAAGCCATTGTATCTACCACCAAAAACAAGGAAGCAAACTAAGGAACAACCATTCTATTATTGGTTGTAAAATTCTAAGACAGTATCAAAAGGTTTCTAGAAGAAGTCAGGCAGTAATCTCTAGAAATGTGAGAGCAGAAAACAGAATGTACTTGAGGGCGAGGTTGAAATCAACAGATGGATTGCTAGTAGTCTGGCTAGGTATCTCCATCCTGTATTTGGAAATCTGGATCTTCTTTGGTCCTTCACATACAGTAAGATGTGCAGAACCTTCACAACCTGACTGGACACAAGACTGTGCTAACACAGTACTTCCCTGATAGCAGCTCCATGCAGAGATCAGAAGTGGTCAGCGAGCTGTCCATCATAGCCTGCAGCTTTCTGTACTGCCTATTTTTTCAGCTTTTACTGGAAGAACTAATTGCAAGATGCAAGTTCCCAGGACTGGTAAGTCAATAAATCAACAAAGTCACACACTGTCTACTACAGCAACACACTGCTTCAGGTTATCCACTTCCCAAACACTGATCAAGGAGACGACTGTCCGACAAACTGCAACAGATGAAGACACCAGCAGGAAAGTAGCATGCCAGAGACACAAAAAAAGTATTCTGAATTTACACGCACCAGCAGCTTGACTCAAGTATTGCTTTTGCTGACAAGCCCATGCCTCCTCCCAACTGCCTTCTCCCCAAAGCTCCAAAATGGGGGACTTGCCAAAAACTCCTCAAAGTCCATTACTGTTGCTTTCATTTTACATGGCAGGTATAACCACTCCAGCTTCACAGGTGAAAATATGGGGTTAGTTATGCTAGGCATGTAGATAGAAATTGAAAGCATTTTGGTGAGAAGTGACAAGGTCCTGGATCCAGTCAAAGTACCTGTGGAAGACACCTGCAGTCATCCACAAACTCCAGGGTCATTCATTGGGACATTACACATGCAGAGTTTTATCACCTGGCCATGATTTCAGTGATTTTAAAGGCCTTGACATAACCATGTATAAGACTCTCATTTCTTCCTTGTAGAAGATACCTTTGAGGTGCTGAGAACTTGCAAGTGTAGACAGGCAATAAAATCAGAAACCAAAAGGAAGCAATCCAATGCAAGCATCTCTGTATGTGTACATGCAAGACAAGATTCGATAGGGATGGTCTCTTTCATTTGACCATCTAATATAATCAGCAGACAACCTTTTGGGCACAAACCCCCTTCCATTAGTGTGAAGTAGAAACAACAGACTAGACGACTAAACACAAATTACAAATTACTGCTCTAATTGGGAGTCTAATCACACATGTGCTAGTAAGGCCGTTCCCCAAAGACACAGTAGCAGTACCTGTTGAGAAGGTGGTAAATTAACCGTGTGAGAAAAAGGTGGTTATACCCCTAGGGGAACGCCTGAGGTAGATGTTACTCTGTGGAATACCAAGTGGCTAACAGGATGGGAAAAATTGCCGTAAACCTCATTTTGCCCCTAGTTTGGTGCGCTTGGTTGACTTACGAGCTTCATTCTCCCAGTTTGTCTTCACGGGCTTCCCTTGAAGCTTTTGTTCCTGCATCAGCACGGCCTGGTGCCTGGCCCTCCCATAATGCCGCCCTCGCCGTCACCACGGCCACTTAGCCACTCAGGCAAGGCCTGCTGCCTTTGCAGAGGGAACAGGCCCAAGGGCTCTGCTGTGTGTCCATTAGACATGCTTTTAAATACACACATGAACAGGTTGCTACCGCATGCCAGGGAGGAAGCTGTAGGCTCTTCGGTCCTTAGCACTAGGGGTCTGCAGTCCTGCAAAGCGCTAGAGCAACCAGTGGAGCCAAGCCAGACTTGGAAGGGGAAGGTGCAGGCAGACACCCTCTTAAACGTAATTTTAAACTTTTCTCGTTTTCCCCCTCCAATTCTGTATCCAGGGCCCGCTACGTGCGACGAGAAAACGGGGGGGGGGATCCCGTCGCTCTCGTCCCTGCCCACAGCGCATGCGCTCGCTCAGCGCCTACGCGCCCCCAGAGGCGGGCAGCGGGCGCATG